CCCCGCGCGTCGCCCCCCCCCCCCCCGTTTCCTCCTCTGGCTCAGAGCCCTCGCTGCCAGGGCAGCCAGATGCCACGAGGTGAGATGCCCACTGAGCAGCCCAGCGGCGAGGACTGGCATCCCCAGCCAAACTCACGAGGTCTCAGGCCCGCGGCAGCCGGTACATAGACCTCCTGGAAGCCATGGCCGGCCCCAGGCGACTGCGACCCCAGCAGACACCCTCCCTGCAGGGAGGACTCCACACCCAGCACTGCGAGAGGATGAAGCTGTGCTGCTTTCGGGCTCTGTCTTCTGGGCCGTTCGTTTAGTGCATGGATACCCACGACAAGGCCCTCCCCAGCCAGGCTGAGAGCTGGGGCAGCAGGGCAGTTACCTGTCCCTCCAGGTCCTGGGCAGGGGGCAGGATAGGCCTGGGGAGAAAGGGAAGGCCTCTCTGAGGCAGTGACACCTGGACCGAGAATGCAGGCCACCTTGGGAGCATTTGGGGGGAAGTACTCGGGATAGAGAGCCCACGTACAAGGGCCCTGGCACGAACGTGACCCGGTGCATTCGAGCAGAGGACCCGCGGACTCGACGTGCGATGTGAGTGGTCCCCGGGGAGGCTAAGGAGGCTGCGGCAGGGAAGGGTGTGGCTCGAGGTGTCTGGGACCTGAACGTGACCAGCCCAGCCCTGGTCCCCAGTTGGCTTGCTTCCCAGGGTCTGGCCCTGACTTGAACACTGGTGGGTTCCTTTCAGGTAACATGCTGGGTAGAGGTGAGGACAAGCATGTGGCCTCCCCCGACTCCCTGCTTCCCAAGGGCCCCGGCCGCCCCCAAGCCAAGGCCTGTGTGGCACCGCCCCACGCACCTCCAAACCCTCTGGCCTTCAGCTCCTCGTCCCGGATGATGGTCGGGGTGATCCCCAGCTCCTTTCCGACTTTGCTAATCTCCTGGACACATTCATGGAGAAACAAGACGGAGACCCGTGAAGTGGTAGAAATGGAGGCGGGGCCAAGGTTCACAGGGACCGGGACGCCTGGGTGGTGGAAAGGAACCATCTGGAAGCTGGCAGTTCTGACTCTCTGGGCTTCGAGCATTATCAGACCCTGTGGGGAAGGCTCATCCCCAAAGCCTCCAAGTCCCCGCGGCTACAGCCCATCCCCTCCATGCCCCTGCTGAGGTCTTTAGCCCTCACAGCTGCGTGGACAGAACTCCACCAGAAGCAGCCCCGGGGTTCCCTGGGCTCCGTCGCAGTGTGGATAGCCCCCAGGTTTCCTCAGCTCCCGGGGTCTTGACACCCTGCCCAGCCAGGTTCCACCCAACACACGGAGCCACAAACCTCGAGGAAGGTGTCCGTGTTCATCTGGTTGCAGGGCGTGTCCACAATGCGGGCTGCCAGCCGCACGCCATCCGTGGCGCTTGCTAAACACTGGGGGTGAGGGGCACCTTCTGACTGCTGCGTCGGTGCTGCCCGGCTGGCCGCGAAGGTGCCGGGCGCCTCACAGACCTAGCAGCTCAGAGTAAGAGAGCCCGGGCAGAGAGCACTAGTGTGGAGGCAGAGGTGGCCTCCGGGGCCCTCGCCCCTCCAGGCCTCTCCGTGACTCGGTTTCCACCTCGCGAGGAGAAACACTCGCTCATTCCTCGCATGACCAGCTGCGGGCTGGGCGCTGTGCTGGACTCAAGAGTCGGAGAGGTCATGGGCCTCGGGTCCAGCACAGGATGGCTGCACTCCATCCCGTAACGGTCCAGAGGCAAGGCCGCGGCACTCAGAAGCCCCCACGGAGAGGCTGAGTGATGGCCACGTGGAGTGTGGGCCCTGGGGCGGGCTCCAGCCAGCTGGGGGGAGGGTTCAGGGACAGCGGCACCCCTGGGGACTCCCTCAGTGTATCTGAGCCTCAGTTTGTCAGCTCTAAAATAGAATAGATGGCAACTCACAGGGCCACAGTGAGAAGGAAGTAAACTGACACATGCACACGCATGCGTACACACACATGCGTGCACACACACGCAAGCACACACGCACACACACATGCTCTGGCAGGGTCTGGGACCTCGCAGCACTCAGAAACTACAGCTGCTCACGGGACAGATGCAACCTGCAAAGAGAACTGGGCCTGCGTCTCCCACATGGGTAGGAAGATGTTCGAGGCTGCTCGCCCAGAGAGCCACCTGGGCATCCCAGGGGTGGAGACTGACGGGACCTGGCCAAGGGGACTCACCACCTGGGACCAGTGCTGGGATTACTGTGTGCAGGATGGCCCTGCCCTGCGGGGCCTACCCCAGCAGGGAACACGGAGGATGAACAGCGTGGAGTGGCCAAGAGGGACGGCGTGGCCAGGAGGGGCAGCGCTCAAGGCTGGTTGGGGACGGGGCTTGCTGGGCATGACATGGGTAGAAGCCGACAGAGACCACGGGGGTGGAGGAGCTGGGCCCTGGCAGAGGGAACCGAGTGGGAAGGAGCTTGGCAAGGCCACGGGCAGCTGGGAGCCCACTGAGGGGATCAAGAGGCAGTGCGGGGAGGGGCCGGGCAGAAGCAATTGGGGTGCAGCTTGGGGTAGCCCCAGGATTTGGTAATGGTGGGCATGACATTCTGAAGGGGTTCCTGAGACCAGGGGCGGCTGAAACCACCCAGATGGAGGGGTGAGGGTGCAACCTGGAGGCCCACAGAAAACTCCAGGAGGTGGTGGGCAGGTTGGCGAGAACGGGTGGGGGTGGGGCGGGGTGCTTCCAGGAGGCAGGGCTGATCTGCCAGCAGCCAGGGCCACTCTCCAACTAACAGACAACGTGGACAAGGGCAAAATTGGGGTGGGGAAGGGTATAAGAAAGGCAAGGCAATCAGATCGTGAATGCTGGAGAGGAGGAGAAAGGGAAAAGAATCCAGGTTGCGGGGAGCGGTTGCAGGCCTCTGAAAGGGAGACAGCGGATGGACAGGTGGACAGACAAGCAAGGGGAGACCAGGCTGGAGGACCAGCCTTCCTGGGCCAGGTGAGGAGAGCTCTGAGGAGTACTGGGTAGGGCTGGAGCGGGGCTAGAGCTGGGACCTGCTGCAGGTGGGCAGGTGAGTGCAGGGGAGTCTGGGAGGACCTGGAAGCCCCTCCAGCTGGCCTGCCTCAAGTGCCAACACACATACCGAGCTCCAGGCCACACAGCGTCGCCCGCCCTGGCCCGGGGCTGACAACCACCAAACCAGGAAAGGAGTCCCGAGGGGGAGGGTACCCCTGCCCAGTTGTGGAGCCACAGTCGTCCTCCCGGCCTCCCCTGCGGTGGCCCGAGCTCATGGGGGGCCCCAGGACAGTCTGCACATCCCGACACCCACTTGCAAGGTGGACACTTCCACCGGCCCGTTGTCCTGTCCCACAAGGTAAAACTCCACCGTGACGGTCTTCCTGTCCGTGCGCCGGGACGCACCTGAGCGGTGTGTGAACAGCGGGAAGGCGCGGGCCAGGGCGCAGGCCGAGGCGAAGACGTCGGGCTGCTCACAGACCATCTGCAGAGAGAGGCAGGTGGCGAGGGCCAGGCTGTGCCTGGAAGGCCGGAGCCACCTGTCATGTCTCCCAGACACCCCCATCCCCACCCCATACGCCTCCCGGGAAACGAGTGACCCGGCGCGGTCTCGCTCCATGAGGAAGCAAGGGTCGCCCATGAGATGTCACCTGCCTCACCAGACAGGAAAGCAGGTGTGAGGGGTGGACACCGGACTGGGCCTGGAAACCCAGGTTTGAGCTGTGGCCTCCGCACCAAAACAGAGGTGGGGTCAATCCCGCCGTCTCTCTGAAGGACAGGGACTCTCATGTCCAAGGGGTGGCAGCTCTGGCCACCTGAGTCCTTCCAGACCAGAGGGCCTGTCACTGACCCGCAGAGGGCCTAGGTTCCTGGAGCTCCTTCTCTGGCCCCCGGCCACCTGCTGCCAGGCACTCACCACGATGCACCGATGGGTTCCGGGCGGCAGGCAGGTGCGCACCAGCCGGGTGATGAAGTGTGCGGCCGAGGGGCTGTTGTGCCGGCTCAGCCTGGAGGGCAGGGCGGCCACGGTGGCATAGTTCAGGTACAGGGGACAGCTGTCGGTGGGGTTGGGGTTGAGCGTGTTCAGGGCGGCCTGCCAAAGCTGGAGCAGAGGGGAGACAAGGGCAGGCTGCAGGGGCGCGTGCTGCCTGGCCTGCAAGCCGTCCAAGGGCACCGACCCGCGTTGGCAAGATGTGTGGACACTCCTAGGGCCGAGAGCGGCCTGCTGGCACCCTGCCACCTCGTGGGATTACGCCTGGGGACTGAAGGGCCAGGCTGGGGCCGCTCTGCTTCAGACACGTGAAACCCCGACTCGATGGGCCTCGGCCCGTCCTCCCTGGCCTGGAGCAGGGCGGGTGCCCCGGAAGGGCGGGCGGGAAGCTGCCCGCGATCGCCTGGGCACAGGCCTCTGGCCGGACCCCCGCGGCCCGGCCTGGTGCAGGCGCCCAGGAAGCC